TGCTGTTGTTGACAAAGTTGGTACAAGAGTGCAAGAGACTGTCCTCCAGGGCCAGCAGCTGGCACAGAGCTTGAGTCGCTGGATTCCCCACATGGTCAGCTTTGGGGTTCTAGTCCTGGGCCTGGCCGCTCGAGAAGCATACCAGGTGCATGTGCATGTGTGCTCAAAGCCCTGAGAGGAGAGGTAAGAAGAGATAGTTGTGGCTCTCCCCTCTGGGCGTGATCTCTCTCTTCGGTGAGTGCATACACCCTATCACAAGAAGAAAAAACAAAGAGCCTGTCCTCCAGCCATGCCCCTGGGACGTATAAGCCTGGGTTAGCTGCTCAGAGACATGGAATGACCGTGTCAGCCTCCAGAGGACCTGGCAGCAGGAGGGAAGCCGCGTGGTTCCCGCGAGTCAGCGCGCCCACACACCCAGCACTGCACCCCTCCCAGGGGGCGTCTCGGCTTCGTGTCACCTGTGACCAGCAGAATGAGGTGGGAGGTTCGAGAGGAGCCTGTAAGGAGAGGAGGCGGCAGCTCTGGAGACTGTGAGGTTACAAGCACTACTTTGGCCTGCCCATGGCCTAGTGTTTCGGGAGCCAGGTACCACATGCTTGACTGGACAGTTCAAATCCCTGCCCAGCATCTTGAAATCACACCACGTGTGTGTGCACGCGTGCCCAAAATCCCAACCAGAGGGAGAAATGGAGAGGGGGTTGTGGCGTGCCCAGGCTCTCCGGAGGATACTTCTTCCGTCTCTCCACGGGGCTCTCTGGTGAGAACAGTTGCCTTCTGGTAATGAGAAGAAGAAACACACCTTGAAAAAACAGCAGACCCGGAGGACACAGCGCTAAGTGAATAAACAGGCAGAAAAGGACAAATGCCACGTGACCCTGCTTACTGGTGGCACTGGGAATCTTCGCACTCAGGCCAGCAGGTGGCGCGGAACCCCAGGTGGCTGGCTGCGTGAGTCTCGGCTCCAGCGGCATCAAATCACACTGGGCATGTGTTGTGTGCCCCAAACCCTGAGAGTGGAGGAGAAGGGACTGCAGCATGGCCATTTCCCCGGGAGACGATTTCTTCCTTTCTCTCTCTCCCTCTGTCTCTGTCTCTCTCTGGCGAGTGCACATGCCCTATGGCAAAAAGAGAAAGAGGGAGAGGAAGAGGAAGGAGGGGAAGAATCCCACTGACAGAAGCAGAGGGTTACAGGGGCTGGGGGCGTGGAGGGTGGGCAGCCGCTGGGGAAGGGTGCGAAGTGTTGGATAGGTGAGTCTTGGGGCACAGCCGAGGATGGGGCTCATACTGTATTTCAGAGTCGCGGAAGAGTACAGTTCAAAGTTCTCGCCATGAGAAATGGGAAGTGTTTGAGGCGTGAGATGTTAATTCGGTTTAGTCCTTCCACATTGCATGCATATGCCATTAGTGTCACTTCGTACCCATAAATGCAGAAAACTTGTTTCTTTCTTTCTTTCTTTCTTTTTTTTGGGAGAGGTTTTTGCTATAGGGCGCGTGCGTTCACCAGAAAGACAGAGAGAGATAGAAAGTGAGAAATCACCCCCCAGGTGGAATGGCCACGCCACAATCCCTTCTCCTCCATTCTCCTCTCGGGATCTTGGGCACGCACGCACACGTGCCCGGCGTGAGTTTAAGCCACCGGGTCCAGGACGGGATCCGCAGTCGACTACATGGGAGTCCAACGACATAGCCATTACTCCAACTGCTGGTTCCCACACACGTTTATTTTATTGAAAGTGCAGGGCGACACCCTTCTTCTGGTGTTGGGTATAACTGGGTGACTAGACAGGCTAAGCCTTGTCCTCATGCACATTCCTGCCAGCGGAGGGGCAGACAGGACTCATAATAGGCTAGTTAAGTATGGAACCCGCTGCTGTTGGGAGATGAAGACCTTGGAGGGGTGAGGGAGGCACGGCAGAGCAGGGTAGGACCGGGCAGGGCAGGGCAGGGCAGGGCTGGGCTGGACAGTATGTCCACTGGTGGAGGAACGGGAAGCCCCAAGGCCTGGAGGAGGGAAAGGGGCCTGACGCATTCCAGACCAGAGCTCAGAGCCCTGACCGAGCTGGGGCGGGTGTGGGGAGCACCGTCCCTGCAGGGCAGGTCATGGGACAGACTCAAGCATGTTTGGTCTGAAGGACAGAGGAAGCTGCTGGAGGGCTGTGGGTTCCTTCCCTCCTCTCTGAATTTTATTTATTTATTTATTTAAATTTGCTGTAGGGTGCCTGTGCTTGCCTGAGAGAGAGAAAGTGAGAAATCACCCCCGGGGGGATAGCCATGCCACTGTCCATTCTCTTCTTGGGATTTTTGGGCATGCACGCACATGTGCCCAGCATGCTTTTCAAGATGTCAGGTCTGGGAGTCGAACCATGTAGTTGGCCATATGGGATCCAGCTGCCTTAGCCACCAGCTGCCATGCCACCTGCTAACCCTGGGCCATGAGTTTCTATTGCATGGCTGCCACTGCTGACTTGAGAATAGCTGGGTGTGATTGTAGTCCAGGACGGAGAAGATGGAGCCCCGGCCACGAAGAACAGGGGGAGGTGGCCGGACTCTGGACTGCTCGGGAAGCTGGCGCCTGGCAGCCTCACCCATTCAGCAAGTAGGCAGGCTTCGGAGATGGCTGGGACGGCGGCGGGCCTCCTCCTAATAGGGACAGACACACCCGTGCTGCCTGCACACGCGCTGTGGGCTGGAGCCCCAGCGCAGTCCTGGACCAGCAGCTCTGAGGTCCCCCGGGCTGGTGCAGGCCCTCCTCTCCCCTCCCAGCCTTCCTCTGTGTGGTCTACACTACCGCAACCTCTGAAACCAGCCCTGGCTCTCAGCGACTCCCTCTGACCCCTCACCTTTTTCCTGCCCCTAGGCTGGTCCTATCCAGACTGCTCACGTGGGCCGGATGCCATGCCACACGACGTTCTCACTGAGTTAGGGTCAGGTCTCTTTCCTTGTGACTTTTTAAAAAGAAGTATGTTATTTAACTTATTTTTTACTTATTTGTTTATTTTAGAGAGACAGAGAGAGAGAGAGGGAAAGTGAAAAGGCAAGCTGCTAGGTTCGGGACTTGAACCGCTATCGGCCATGAGGGGTCCAGCATGCTTAACCACCACGCCACCTGCTGGCCCCAAAGTTAAGGTCTCTCTTCTAAGCCTATAGAAATTCTGGGAAAACCTGGAAGAAAAACTGTAAAAGGACTTAGATAAGAGAAGACTGGGGGCCAGCCAGTGGCGTGATGGTTAAGGCAGCTGGATCCAACATGGCCGACTGCGCGTCTGAGTCCCAGACCCAGCGGCTTGGAAAACAAGGGGGAGGAGGGCGTGAGCATGTATGTGCAAAATCCCAAGAAGAGGACGGAGAAGGGATTGCAGTGTGGCCATGCCCTCTGGAGATGCTTTCTCACTTTGTCCCTCTGTATCTCTTTTTTTTTTTTGGAGAGGTTTTTGCTATAGGGCGCGTGCGCTTGCCAGACAGACAGACAGAGAGAGACAGAGACAGAAAGTGAGAAATCACCTCCCGGGGGGATGGTCACGCCGCAATCCCTTCTCCTCCATTCTCCTCTTGGGATCTTGGGTACGCACACACACGCGCCTGGCGTGAGTTTAAGCCACCGGGTCCAGGACACGAACTGCGGTCGATTACATGGGAATCCAGCGACATAGCCACTATGCTAACTGCTGGCCCCCCTCTGTCTCTCTTCAGCAAATGCATGTACCCCATAGTGAATAAAAAATAATAATAATAAAAAGAACAAAAAAAGAAAAAGGGAGAGAAGGAGGCTGGGGCAAGGTCCACAGGGAGGAGGCTGCCAGGTCCCGTGGCTTGAGCGTGGGGAGCTGGGCTAGAGCCAGCCCCCAGCGCGTCCGCAGTCCTTCGGTGACCCGCGGGCGGTGGCTAGGCCCTCCTGGGCTTCCTCGCTGCAGCATGAGCCCTCTCCCTAGACCTGGACCTGGACAGCGTTTGGGCATGGCCAGACGCCAGGACCACGGAGGGTCTCCCTTTGAGAACAGGTGTCTAGCAGCACTCAGGAGGTGCACCTCCTTCTGGCGCCTATGGGCCAGGGCTCGTGGGCCACCAAGTCTTTCTGGCAGATGGGCCAGAAGTGAAGAGGCTCTTAATTCAGCCTTGGCAGTGTGGAAAGGTCAGCTGGGAGGCCAACTCGCGCTTGGCCGAGCTCTCTGGTTGCAGCCCAGGTGACGGACGGCCCTCTCATCTCACCTCCCTTGATCAGCAGCTCCCTCACGCAGCGACAGACAGCCACCCGCCCAGAGGAGGTGCAGAGGGACAGCTGCCTGCTCCAGCCCCCTCGTCCTCCCTCTCCTTACCCCACCAGTGGTCAAGGTCCAGCCAGGTAGCGCGGGTCCCTGCAGAACCCCCAATGTCCCCACTACAGCACATGCTGGGTGGTTGTGTGGCATGTGTCACACACTGACCACGGGCCAGGAGCTCCTGGGAACGGAAACTCCTCTCATTGTCTGATTTATGTAGCCGAGGGTGTGATGGCCCCTTAGTTTTCCAGGGCTATCAGGTGGCACCAGCTCTGGCAGGCTGGGCCCACGAGTTGTGCTCGCGGTTACCTGTTCTGGCCCAAGGCAGAGCCCTGGGCTCTGAGGACTGGCTGGGTTTGCTCTGGTAGGTTTGGGGGCTCTGGTCTCTTCTCTGGGTACACTTGGCACTTTGGCGTCCATGCCTGGTGCTATGCAGCTAGGCTGAGATGTCTTACAAGGACCTGCCTGTTTATAGAGGCCGAGGTGGAGGTGGTCAGTCAGCCTGAGGTTTGGCTGGGAACTCAGCCTGCAGCCTCTTGTTCTCGGCATCCGACCCCTCCACTCAGCCTTAGCTGCCGTAACAGGGCTGGCCCGCCCTGTTATCCAAGGGGGTGGGAGGAGCCCACAGAATCCTCGCCCCAAGACCCCCCAGGTGAGCAGCAAGCGCCAGAAGGGACCCCTGACCTCACGGGCTTCCCCCGCATGGCCCTTCCCGTCCCACTGAGAGCCGTGGTGTCTCCGCAGGCCGGAACGAGCTGATTGCCCGCTACATCAAGCTCCGCACCGGGAAGACGCGCACCAGGAAGCAGGTGGGCCGGGGCGGCGGGGCCGGGGCAGGGCCGGGATGGGGCCGGGCAGGTGTCGGGGTGGGCCTTGGGGGCCCGCTCAGGGTGGATTGTCACAGACGTCCAGGACACTCCTGCTGCTGGCACCGGGGGGAAGCCCTCAGCCTTGCTGGGAGTCGGCAGCTCCCTGCCCGCCTCCCCTATAACAGGCACAGCTCTTTGGAAATATTGCCAGATTCTGGGTGAGCCGGGCAAGGCAAGACGAGGGCGACTGAGTGATCCATTCGTTCAGTTCGACTGAGTGATCCATTCGTTCAGTTTGGCCACAGGGGTGGATTGAGGGCTGGGGGGGCTGGGGCCAGGGCGGGGAGCTGGGCTGTCTGGGAGGCAGAGACTGGAGCCCTCTCTCCCTGCCCCAGGTCTCCAGCCACATCCAGGTGCTGGCTCGTCGCAAAGCCCGCGAGATCCAGGCCAAGCTCAAGGTAAGGTGAGCTCAGCCCCGGCAGGGTGGAGTGCCACCTGGCCTCTGCTCCCAGAGCCGGGGCTCCATCTTGCAGGAACAGCCTCCTCGGGGTCAGGAGCTGGCTGACCGCCCAGGGTGCCTCCTGCCCGCCGTGCCTCTCACCTTAAGGTTCGGCTGCAGCCACTCTCCTGTCTGCAGGGGCAGTGCCCTGCATGAGCCCAGGCCCCCACGTGTCCTGGGGAGCTACAGGCCAGTCTCCAGCCACGCCCCAGCTCCTGGCTTTGGCACAGAGGAACTGCCATGGCTCAGAGCAGCCAGTCGCCCTCCAGATCCCACTCCATGAGGACCCGAGCTGCTGGTCCCCTTGGGAGCCCACCCGCCCCTCAGTGCCATGAGCCAGAGTCTGCACGTGGCAGGTCTCAGAGGCACTGCTGTAGGCCTGGGTTTGCCAGCATTACGGGAGCTGGCGCGTTCCTCCCCGTTCCCTCTCTGGGACTAGCAGTCCCTCTCTCCCTGCAGGGCCTCTACAGCACACGCTGGGTGGTTGTGTGGCTGATGGGGCCCGCTCTGTGCAGGGCCAGCTACGGGCAGATCCCTGGGGGCGGCCCTGCCCCTCGCAGCAGTTGGGCCTCTTGTGCCCTGGAATCAGGGGCCTGCACCCTGGGAAGGAGCGAGTGCTCCATGAGGAGGTGAGCAACAGAGCCGAACAGAGCCTGGTGGGAGGGTCGGATACGGGCCTTAGACGGCAGGCGGTTTACGAACACCTACTTTTTATTTTTTTTTCTTTTTTTTGGGGGGAGAAGTTTTTGCTATAGGATGCATGTGCTTGCCAGAAAGACAGAGAGAGACAGAGAGACAGAAAGCGAGAAATCACCGCCCAGGGGGGATGGCCACACCACAATCCCTTCTCCTCCATTCTCCTCTCGGGATCTTGGACACACACATACATGCGCCCGGCGTGAGTTTAAGCCACCGGGTCCGGGACTCGAACCGCAGTCGACTACATGGGAGTCCAGCCACATAGCCATTACGCTAAGTGCTGGTCCCACAAACACTTAAAACCACAGAAGTCCCTTTCAGTTTTGTTCTCCGTAATAGAATATCACTCTGGTACGCTCAGACGGGAGCAGGCGGAGACTCTCTCCTCCCTCACGATGAGGCCTCTTGCACCCACGGCACGTGAACCGTAAAGCACCTCGGAGCCCCGTTGTGAAGGCTGCTGGGCTGGGCAGCCTTGGAAGCTCCATCTGGCCCAGTTGTCCACAAGTGGGCGGAACCATGGGTGCTCCTGCCCCGCCCACTGCCTGCTCAGCCATTCCTCCTGCACAGCCCAGCTGTCCCCCTCAGCTGTGCCTAGCACCTTGTGCCTTTGTCCTGGGACAGTGGGCCAGGCTGCAGCTGTGGCTCACCCCCACCAGGCTGGCACATGTGCCTAGGGACCCCTGGCCTGCAGCCCGGTCCACTCTTCACTCGCCCTCTCTGGTCTGCCTCTGACTCAGCCCCGCGGGTTCTCCAGCATCTGTGAGAACACAGGCCGTGCCGTCCCTCGGGGCTGCCTGGATAGCCCCCGTCGCTTCCAGGAGTTATACCTGTCCTGTTCACGGGGTCTAACTGGGGGTCACTGGTAGCTTCAGGGGGCGGCTGGGCAGGCAGCCGGGGGAGCCACAGGCTCCTAAAAATATGCAGGTCTTCGTGTGTGTGTGTTTTCCTGAAGGGCAGGGTCTGGATTTTGTCAGACTCGGGGTCTAAAGCCCCGACGTGGACCCTGAGATCGGCGGAAACACTCAGGAGGGGAGGCTGGGTCCGGCCTGGCTCCGCCCTCACGGCCGTGGTCACTGGGGCAGTCCCTGCACCCCTGCGAGTTCATGGAGCTTCCTCAGCTGTAAAATGGTGGGCTTGCAGGGAGACAGCCCAGGTCCCGTCCGGCTCCCAGATCCGGTGGCTCCCTGGTCTGTGGCTGGGCAGTGACAACACTGCCACACGTCCGTCCTGCTTCCTCCTGGCCCCTGCCCCGCCCTGCCACACGCGTTTCCTGAGCCCAGCCATTTGTTTGGGTCGGGTGTCCGGCAAGGGACACGAGTGCCGATGCTGGACAGGTGGAAAGCCCTGGCCTCGTCATGCAGGTGTCGGCCACAGAGACCAAAGGCTTTCTGGGGTGCGGCCTGCTCTCACTCACACCCTCTGGGGCTGGCCTGGGCAAGTGCTCAGAGGTAGCACACCTTACACGTACGCCTTCTTTGGTGATCAGAGACCACCGCTGGGAGAGGGCCCGTTTGGCAGTGAGGAGGGGCCCGGGGCTAACGGGCCAGTCTTGGCCAAGCCCTTGGGGACACTGTCAACTCGCCAGACCCTTGTCACCCGAATTCTCTGAGCTCTAATTCCTTCATCTTAAACTGGGAAACCTGTTACCACTGGCGTCCTCCCAGGAATCAAAGCAGGGCCGCCTTCATTTTAAGTTTACTTATTTCTTCTTTAAGGGAGAGGGTCAGATAATACTCCCAACGGGGTCTCCATGGCATGATCCACCGCCAGCCTCAGCCAGCCAGGATCGAGGCACACGTGTTCCCGGTGGGAGGAGGACTCGGGGCGTGAACCCAGAACCTTCCAGCATGAGTCAGCCTCGCACAGTGGCAGGCTGTACTGCTGGGCCACCTTCTGGTCCCTGGAGTGGCCTCTAGGAAGCCTTCCAGGCTGTTTCCAGAGAGGCCCAAGGCCCGGTGCCAGGGCCTGTGAGCTCTGGCTTCACCCCGCATGGCACCGGAGTCTGGGGGCGGCCTGGTGCTTCCATGCACAAGGCCACAGTCCCCATACCTCCCTGCAGGGCCGTGCAGGCTGAGGGCCAGCTCCAGGGCTCCCATCCTCTCCCCACTGTCCCTCGGGCAGGTCGGGAACTGAGTTAATTCTCGTAGTTTAACCCCCTTGGTTTTAACCGCTAAAGGAATTCATCACAGGGACCAGCGGGTGGCTTGGTGGCTGTGGTGCTGGAGCCCACATGGCCAACTCCTTGGGTTCGAGCCCCGTACCCAGCGTCCTGAGACACCCAGCACATGCGTGCCCAAGATCCCAAGAAGAGAACAGAGAAGGGGTTGTGGTGTGGCCACCCTCCCAGGGAGATGATTCATCTCTCTTCTGTCTCTCTGGCGAGTGCATATGACCAAAAAGAAAGGAAAGGAAAAAAAATCATCATGAAGATGTAGAATTTCTAATTAGAGATCCTGAATTGACATAATCAAACCACTTAGTCCCAAAATAGGTGCACACTCCGAACAGTGCTTGTGATTTCGTTTTGGGGGGGGGGGGAGGTGTCGTGTTTTGGATGGACAGATCCCCATTAGGCATTTGAAATAGGGGGTGTTGTCTCATCCTTGAAGACCTCTGGGACGGGGCAGCCCAGGGTGGGGCCCAGGTTCTGAAGTACAAGAAGGCATTGCTACCTGGTCATGCGAGCCGAGCCCGTGTCTTAGCGGCCTCGGGGGCAGCCCCGTTCTCAGCTCTCTGAACCAGGGGAGGCAGACAGGCCTGGGCATCTGACTTGTGAAAGGTGGGGGTCTTGGAAGCACAGGGCCGGGGAGACCTAAGGGCAGGACTGAGGCCACAGGAGGCTGGCTCTCACCCCACATGACCCCTCCTGCGCATCCAGGTAGGGGTCCGACAGCAGCCTCTCCTCCAGCCAAGCACCCAGTGAGGCACATGTGGGACCCCACTGCTCTTAGTGTCCCCGTGGGAAGTGAAAGGACACTCCCGAGTGGCAGAGGGTCTCCGAGTCAGAGCTCTGAGGAAGCAGGCAGGGCAGCGCGGTGACCCATCAGAGAAACGGGATCTCGGTTGCAGCACAAGTTCATAGCCTGCACGGGCAGAAAACCTGGTCCGGGCCCTGGCCACCAGCCGGGCCGGTTCCCTGCCCCTGAGGCCTGTCCTGCTTTGTCTCCCCAGGACCAGGCAGCGAAGGACAAGGCCCTGCAGAGCATGGCTGCCATGTCTTCCGCCCAGATCATCTCGGCCACAGCCTTCCACAGTAAAATGGCCCTGGCCCGGGGCGCGGGCCACCCGGCCGTCTCCGGGGTAAGCGGGGCTGTCTGGAGAAAACCCTGCCTCCTCCCTCTGCCCGTCCTGAGAGCTGGCTTGGTCCAGGCTGCATTCTGTCCCCGTGTCCTCCCAGGAGCCTGGGGGAGAACAGATCCCAGCCTGGGGCCCCTCGAGTCTCACTCTGCTGCTGTCAGGGCTCTTCCTGGGTCTCGGCAGAGACTGCAGACCCTTGGCAAGGGGTGCGGGCGAGCTGGGAGGTCGAAGACCAGGATAAAGAGCCGAGGCCGGGGCTGGCAGCCACCCCCGCCCAGGCCTCCCCTGCGCCCCCTGCTCAGGCACGCAGTCCTGCTGTCCTGGCCAGAGCCACACATCCTGGGATAAGCCCGGCTCAGATTTTACACTTCTCAGCCCTGGCCCACTTGGCCACAATTTCAAGACGGGCAGGAAAGGCCCCTCCTTCCCAGAGCTGTGTCCTCCCGGGTTTCCTTGACGGCAAAGATTCCAGGGTCTGGAGATGCACCTGGAGCACTGGCTGGAGCACTGCCGGGCCTGTGGGGGTGGCGTGGTGCCGGCCATCGCCGATGCTCCAGAGAGTTCTGGTCCCCAGGACGTGAGACCACTGTCACACGGGGCTTCTGTGCACAAGTACATTTGGGACACTCAGAACCTCAAGGTTCCCAGGCTGGGGCCTTCGGAGCCTAGTGCTGCCATGTAGTGACTCTGGAAGGGCGGAGGTCACTGGTTCCCGACCCAGCTGGGCTCCCGTGGGGCATCTTCTTGACCGGGCTCCTCGGGGAACCCCTTTTCCAGCTGGGGCCCCTGCCCAGCCTTACACCCTGCCGGGTGCGCGTGGGCAGTGCTGACTCTGCTGTTTGCCTCCCCAGTTTTGGCAAGGAGCTTTGCCAGGCCAAGCCGGAACGTCCCACGAGTGAGTACGGCCCGGTGTCTGCTCTCGCTATTCCTTAAACTGAACTTGAACCTGTAAACTCATGACACTGAGCCCAGCCCCAGGTGGGATGGGACCACCATTGGTTCAGCCTCGCAGGTTGACCTTGAGCTTAGGGATCGGGCATGTCTGTCCAGGGTAAAGGCAGGGCCGGGGCTCAGGAAGGAGGGATGGAGGCTGGGGACTGGGAAGGAGGGAGACAGGGGTGTTTTCCCCAACAGATGTACGTCTGGGGCCCAGCCAGAAGCCTGTGGGAGCCGGCAGGGCGGGTGAGG